TCGCAGCAACACAGGTGACTGAGTCCTTATGTGTGTGTGCTTGCCTAATGTGTTCTCATGGTCGAGCCTCAGCTCCTGGGTCGCCTTCTTTGTTCCTAGTTGTATTGGGCAGTTAAATTGTGGATTTGATAGAGAGAGAGAGAGAGAGAGAGAGAGAGAGAGAGACCACGCGAGCGAGGACAGGTTGTTGGAGGACAGGTTGTAGGAGGACATGTTGTAGGAGGACAGGTTGTTGGAGGACAGGTTGTAGGAGGACAGGTTGTAGGAGGACAGGTTGTAGGAGGACATGTTGTAGGAGGACAGGTTGTTGGAGGACAGGTTGTAGGAGGACAGGTTGTAGGAGGACAGGTTGTAGGAGGACATGTTGTAGGAGGACAGGTTGTAGGAGGACAGGTTGTAGGAGGACAGGTTGTAGGAGGACAGGTTGTAGGAGGACAGGTTGTAAGAGGACAGGTTGTGGGTGGACAGGTTGTGGGAGGACAGGTTGTAGGAGGACAGGTTGTGGGTGGAGAGGTTGTGGAAGGACAGGTTGTAGGAGGACAGGTTGTAGGAGGACAGGTTGTAGGAGGACAGGTTGTAAGAGGACAGGTTGTAGGAGGACAGGTTGTGGGAGGACAGGTTGTAGGAGGACAGGTTGTAGGAGGACAGGTTGTGGGTGGACAGGTTGTAGGAGGACAGGTTGTAGGAGGACAGGTTGTTGGAGGACAGGTTGTAGGAGAACAGGTTGTAGGAGGACAGGTTGTAGGAGGACAGGTTGTAGGAGGACAGGTTGTAAGAGGACAGGTTGTGGGTGGACAGGTTGTGGGAGGACAGGTTGTAGGAGGACAGGTTGTAGGAGGACAGGCTGTAAGAGGACAGGTTGTGGGAGGACAGGTTGTAGGAGGACATGTTGTAGGAGGACAGGTTGTTGGAGGACAGGTTGTAGGAGGACAGGTTGTAGGAGGACAGGTTGTAAGAGGACAGGTTGTGGGTGGACAGGTTGTGGGAGGACAGGCTGTAGTAGGACAGGCTGTAGGAGGACAGGTTGTAGGAGGACAGGCTGTAGGAGGACAGGCTGTAGATGGACAGGTAGAAGGAGGACAGGCTGTAAGAGGACAGGTTGTGGGTGGACAGGTTGTTGGAGGACAGGTTGTAGGAGGATAGGTTGTAGGAGGACAGGTTGTAGGAGGACAGGTTGTTGGAGGACAGGTTGTAGGAGGACAGGTTGTAGGAGGACAGGCTGTTGGAGGACAGGTTGTAGGAGGACAGGTTGTAGGAGGACAGGTTGTAGGAGGACAGGTTGTTGGAGGACAGGTTGTAGGAGGACAGGTTGTAGGAGGACAGGTTGTAGGAGGACAGGTTGTAGGAGGACAGGTTGTAGGAGGACAGGTTGTAGGAGGACAGGCTGTAAGAGGACAGGCTGTAGAAGGACAGGCTGTAGGAGGACAGGTTGTAGGAGAACAGGTAGTAGGAGGACAGGTTGTAGGAGAACAGGTTGTAGGAGGACAGGCTGTAAGAGGACAGGCTGTAGGAGGACAGGCTGTAGGAGGACAGGCTGTAGGAGGACAGGCTGTAGGAGGACAGGCTGTAGGAGGACAGGTTGTAGGAGGACAGGTTGTAGGAGGACAGGTTGTAGGAGGACAGGTTGTAGGAGGACAGGTTGTAGGAAGACAGGTTGTAGGAGGACAGGCTGTAAGAGGACAGGCTGTAGAAGGACAGGCTGTAGGAGGACAGGTTGTAGGAGAACAGGTAGTAGGAGGACAGGTTGTAGGAGAACAGGTAGTAGGAGGACAGGTTGTAGGAGAACAGGTTGTAGGAGGACAGGCTGTAGGAGGACAGGCTGTATGAGGGCCGGCTGTAGGAGGACAGGCTGTAGGAGGACAGGCTGTAGGAGGACAGGCTGTAGGAGGACAAGCTGTAGGAGAACAGGCTGTAGGAGTCCAGGCTATAGGAGGACAGGTTGTAGGAGGACAGGCTGTAGGAGGACAGGTTGTAGGAGGACAGGCTGTAGGAGGACAGGCTGTAGGAGGACAGGCTGTAGGAGGACAGGCTGTAGGAGGACAGGTTGTAGGAGGACAGGCTGTAGGAGGACAGGCTGTAGGAGGACAGGTTGTAGGAGGACAGGTTGCAGGAGGACAGGCTGTAGGAGGACAGGCTGTAGGAGGACAGGCTGTAGAAGGACAGGCTGTAAGAGGACAGGCTGTAGGAGGACAGGCTGTAGATGGACAGGTAGTAGGAGGACAGGCTGTAGGAGGACAGGCTGCAAGAGGACAGGCTGTAGAAGGACAGGAAGTAGGAGGACAGGCTGTAGGAGGACAGGCTGTAAGAGGACAGGCTGTAGATGGACAGGGTGTAGGAGGACAGGCTGTAGGAGGACAGGCTGTAGGAGGACAGGCTGTAGGAGGACAGGCTGTAGGAGGACAGGTTGTAAGAGGACAGGCTGTAGATGGACAGGTAGTAGGAGGACAGGCTGTAGGAGGACAGGCTGTAGGAGGACAGGCTATAGGAGGACAGGCTATAGGAGGACAGGTTGTAGGAGGACAGGCTGTAGGAGGACAGGCTGTAGGAGGACAGGCTGTAAGAGGACAGGCTGTAGATGGACAGGTAGTAGGAGGACAGGCTGTAGGAGGACAGGCTGTAGGAGGACAGGCTGTAGGAGGACAGGCTGTAGAAGGACAGGCTGTAAGAGGACAGGCTGTAGATGGACAGGTAGTAGGAGGACAGGTTGTAGGAGGACAGGTTGTAAGAGGACAGGCTGTAGGAGGACAGGCTGTAGGAGGACAGGCTGTAGGAGGACAGGTTGTAAGAGGACAGGCTGTAGATGGACAGGTAGTAGGAGGACAGGCTGTAGGAGGACAGGCTGTAGGAGGACAGGCTGTAGATGGACAGGTAGTAGGAGGACAGGCTGTAGGACAGGCTGTTGTACGTTGGGGTTATACGTTCTTCAAAAGTTCTTTGACATATGTGTGAAGTTTATATATCCATATATATGTATATATGTGTCGTCTTATAGCCTTTAGACACAGCCAGGTGTTGAGAGAGAGATCCATATAAACTCAACTGGAGTAACAGCAATACAAACTCAGTTACTTATATATAATTTAAGTGATTTAAATCACACCACTCTCACTTTTAACCCTTAAATCCTGGGTTTATGTCCATTGGTGTTTAACTGAACCTTCAACACCGATATTTCAACCCTATTGTTGCATTTATGAGACCTCTTCATTTAGCATTCTCTACACCCTTCCCCACCTCTCTACACCTGCTCTACACCTGCTCTACACCCCTCCCCCACCTCTCTACACCCCTCCCCCACCTCTCTACACCTGCTCTACACCTGCTCTACACCCCTCCCCCACCTCTCTACACCTGCTCTACACCCCTCCCCCACCTCTCTACACCTGCTCTACACCCCTCCCCCACCTCTCTACACCTGCTCTACACCCCTCCCCCACTTCTCTACACCTGCTCTACACCTGCTCTACACCCCTCTCATATATGTAAATTCCTCCTCTAATTTCCTTTGGTCCCTTTCTCCTCATGAGTATTAAGGCTTGGCTATCTTCACAGGTAGCCTTCCACAGGTCGGCTATCTTCCCAGGTAGCCTTCCACAGGTCGGCTATCTTCCCAGGTAGCCTTCCACAGGTCGGCTATCTTCCCAGGTAGCCTTCCACAGGTAGGCTATCTTCCCAGGCAGCCTTCCACAGGTCGGCTATCTTCCCAGGCAGCCTTCCACAGGTCGGCTATCTTCCCAGGCAGCCTTCCACAGGTCGGCTATCTTCCCAGGCAGCCTTCCACAGGTCGGCTATCTTCCCAGGCAGCATTCCACAGGTCGGCTATCTTCACAGGCAGCCTTCCACAGGTCGGCTATCTTCACAGGCAGCCTTCCACAGGTCGGCTATCTTCACAGGCAGCCTTCCACAGTTCGGCTATCTTCCCAGGCAGCCTTCCACAGGTCGGCTATCTTCCCAGGCAGCCTTAGACACGTCGGCTATCTTCCCAGGCAGCCTTAGACACGTCGGCTATCTTCCCAGGCTGCCTTAGACAAGTCGGCTATCTTCCCAGGCAGCCTTAGACACGTCGGCTATCTTCCCAGGCAGCCTTAGACACGTCGGCTATCTTCCCAGGCAGCCTTCCACAGGTCGGCTATCTTCCCAGGCAGCCTTCCACAGGTCGGCTATCTTCACAGGCAGCCTTCCACACGTCGGCTATCTTCACAGGCAGCCTTCCACAGGTCGGCTATCTTCCCAGGCAGCCTTCCACAGGTCGGCTATCTTCCCAGGCAGCCTTCCACAGGTCGGCTATCTTCCCAGGCAGCCTTCCACAGGTCGGCTATCTTCACAGGCAGCCTTAGACACGTCGGCTATCTTCCCAGGCAGCCTTCCACAGGTCGGCTATCTTCCCAGGCAGCCTTCCACAGGTCGGCTATCTTCACAGGCAGCCTTCCACAGGTCGGCTATCTTCACAGGCAGCCTTCCACAGGTCGGCTATCTTCACAGGCAGCCTTCCACACGTTGGCTATCTTCCCAGGCAGCCTTAGACACGCTATCCCGGCGCGACAGGTGTCTATTCAACACCTGTGGCGGTCAATACACCCGCCGAGAAACAGCTGAAAGATCCATTCTGCTGTAATTACAGATGCAAACATATTTGATTTGGCAATTTCTGCATCACTTTGGTGGATATGGCAGAGGATAATTGCACATTCAAATGTGTGTGTGTGTGTGTGTGTGTGTGTGTGTGTGTGTGTGTGTGTGTGTGTGTGTGTGTGTGTGTGTGTGTGTGTGTGTGTGTGTGTGATTTTGCAATTTCTGAATCGCCTTGTTGTTGTCGTGGTTGGTAATTACAGGTGTCAAAATGGGCGATTTGCCAATTTCATCCTCACTTTGGAGATCCTTTGACTGGGGGCAGCGCTCATTAGAGTTGAGTATTTACTCCTTTCTCAAAAGTGCAGCGAATTTTGCAAGGAAGTATTGGGAAGGTGATTATAGACTCTTAACAGCTTGTTGGAACAGGTTCAATTCGAGTATATTATCCGTTTGTTGAGTCGTTCATGTGGCGTGTTCTGTTGTGTTCTGTTCAACATGTTCTGCAGGTTTAGATGTAATATGTTCTCCAGTCTGCCATCAAACGCGTTCTTCATTCTGCCGTTAGACATGTTCTTCATTCTGCCGTTAGACATGTTCTTCAATCTGCCGTTAGACATGTTCTTCAATCTGCCGTTAGATATGTTCTTCATTCTGCCGTTAGACATGTTCTTCAATCTGCCGTTAGACATGTTCTTCAATCTGCCGTTAGATATGTTCTTCATTCTGCCGTTAGACATGTTCTTCAATCTGCCGTTAGACATGTTCTTCAATCTGCCGTTAGATATGTTCTTCATTCTGCCGTTAGACATGTTCTTCAATCTGCCGTTAGATATGTTCTTCATTCTGCCGTTAGACATGTTCTTCATTCTGCCGTTATATATGTTCTTCATTCTGCCGTTAGACATGTTCTTCAATCTGCCGTTAGACATGTTCTTCAATCTGCCGTTAGACATGTTCTTCATTCTGCCGTTAGACATGTTCTTCATTCTGCCGTTAGACATGTTCTTCATTCTGCCGTTAGACATGTTCTTCATTCTGCCGTTAGACATGTTCTTCATTCTGCCGTTAGACATGTTCTTCAGTCTGCCGTTAAAAATGTTCTCCAGTCTACCATTTACTATCTTATTTATTTTCCTGTATAATTGTTCTTCATTCGTCCATAATGCATGTTCTTCGTTTAATCATATGCCCTGTTCTTCATGTGTCCATTTAACATGTTCTAAATGACATTCTTTCGCAGAACATGGAACATATTCTTAAGTAGTCCATGTTCTTCAGTTACTGATATAACTTTTTTGTTCTTTACTTTTAAAAGCAATGTGTTCATAATTCATTAAAAATGTTCTTCATGTCTCCAGGAACGTATTTAATGTTATTTATTGAACATGTTCTGATGAGCTGCAGTCCTGAGATCACTCCATTAGGGTGTAGCCTCTCTGAGATCACTCTACCAGGGTGTAGCCTCTCTGAGATCACTCTACCAGGGTGTAGCCTCTCTGAGATCACTCCACCAGGGTGTAGCCTCTCTGAGATCACTCTGCCAGGGTGTAGCCTTTCTGAGATCACTCCACCAGGGTGTAGCCTTTCTGAGATCACTCCGCCAGGGTGTAGCCTTTCTGAGATCACTCCGCCAGGGTGTAGCCTCTCTGAGATCACTCCACCAGGGTGTAGCCTCTCTGAGATCACTCTGCCAGGGTGTAGCCTCTCTGAGATCACTCCACCAGGGTGTAGCCTTTCTGAGATCACTCCGCCAGGGTGTAGCCTTTCTGAGATCACTCCACCAGGGTGCAGCCCCTCTGAGATCACTCCGCCAGGGTGTAGCCTCTCTGAGATCACTCCACCAGGGTGTAGCCTCTCTGAGATCACTCTACCAGGGTGCAGCCTCTCTGAGATCACTCCACCAGGGTGCACCCTCTCTGAGATGACTCCACCAGGGCACCCAGACGGACTGGTTGTACTCTGATCGACTGAACTTCAACAAAGGAGGTTCTGTAACCCAGTATTGGCCTCGTGGACGTCTCAAGTCTCGGTCCGCCAAGCAGGGGATCGATTGTGTGCTCCGAGGCTTATTACAGCCCGCAATTAATGCCGCATTTGCCGCGGTGGGGTTTTTGCGACGGTACAAATGTCTTCATTTTGGCAAACATCTCTCGATAATACCGGTGTCTATGCGTCTGACGTGAGTTAACTTTCACACGGACTGTTGCTCCCTTATTTATGTTGTGTAATTGTAAGGGGCGAGGCATATTTGTACTTTGTGTAAGTGTGGTGGTTGAGGAGACGCGGTTCGCCGCTCTTAAGGGAACTCTTGTCTAGAAGTTGGGTGGGTATTAATATAGACATGGGTGCCTTTAAGGACCTCAAGTCAGCGCATGCTGGGTTGTTTCATCGCCTGGGCGAGGTAAATTGGCTAGTTTTAATGACTGGGTTTCTACCAGTGGGGCTGTGGGATATGTGGAATGTGGGTATATGCTAAGTCTACTCCCCCCTTCTCTCCTCCCACTGTGGGTATAGGTAATGGCAATGTTTGTAGAAGAAAGCTGGCGTTCCGGGCCCCATTCTCCGATCTGTTTTGCATGCGTGATTTAGAACCTGTCTTGTGGGTAGTGCTCAGAGATTCATAAAGAAAATGGGGAAATACAGAAGCAAGAGAGAGAGAGAGAGAGAGAGACTTTTAAACATTTTCTCTCTCGAGAAAATGGACGGTCTCGCTTCGTGCAGGTCGGCGTTCAATCCCCCGATTGTCCACAAGTGGTTGGGGCACCATTGCTTCCCCTCCGTCCCATCCCAAATCTTTTTCTCCTGATAGTTCCGTTCCCCTTCCATCACTTTATTCTTCTTCTTCGCCGAGAATGTTCCAAGACGTGCCACGATTTACCTGTTCTTGGCTTTTGAGTTATATTGTGGGGTCTGATCTGATCACTCCTGAAGCAGGCATTACTGCTGTTATCAATACTGTTGTTATCACTGCACCAGCAGACATTACCGCTGTTATCACCGCTACAGCAGACACTACTGCTGTTATCACCACTACAGCAGACACTACTGCTGTTATCACCGCTACAGCAGACACTACTGCTGTTATCACCACTACAGCAGACACTACTGCTGTTATCACTGCTCCAGCAGACATTACTGCTGTTATCACTGCTCCAGCAGACACTACTGCTGTTATCACTTCTACAGCAGACATTACTGCTGTTATCACTGCTCCAGCAGACACTACTGCTCTTATCACCACTACAGCAGACCCTACTGCTGTTATCACTGTTCCAGCAGACACTACTGCTGTTATCACCACTACAGCAGACCCTACTGCTCTTATCACCGCTACAGCAGACACCTCTCGGTTATAAATTAGTTTTTTCCACTGCAAATCTGTTATTCATATCCATCAATTATTAATTTACAAATTCCATTCATAAATTATTAGTTTAATCCTTCATTTGGGCTTCACATAAGTGGCCATTAAACGACCATTTTTTATGGCTATGGATTTGAATAATTCCACGACACCATTAAATAAAAAACAATTTCTACTGGAGTGAAAAATACCCTTACTTAACGCTCACGAACACAATTATTCATTTTGTTTGGCAATAATATTTCATATGTTGACCATTCTCAAGTCAATCTGAGAATGGTCCAGGACGGACCGAAACGTCGTCGTCCCTTCAATTTCTAGTGTGTGGTCTGGTCAACATACTTCAGCCACGTTATTGTGACTCATCGCCTGCAATATTTCATATATGTTGATATAGCCTTATGGGGGGAATGTTATGTTTGAAAATATAATGTTGATATCTCCTGGCGTTATCCTAAGGCTGTATTCAGACTATCCCACTGCTATATCCAGGCTATCTCAAGGCTATCCCAGTCTATCCTATCACTATATGTTAATCCATGCCTCGTACCACTCCCAAACATGCATGAATACATTATGTATAATGAAAGAATAGTACTTTCATAGATATATATTAAGATATCTTTTTATATATTTTTTTTACATGTATGGGCTTAATTACTGTAGGTTTGGCTGTATCGGTTTCGTTTAGTAATTCTCTTCCAGGGTAACAGTCTTGAAGGATAACAGTCTCCCAGGGTAACAGTCTTGAAGGATAACAGTCTCCCAGGATAACAGTCTTGAAGGACAACAGTCTCCCAGGATAACAGTCACCCAGGATAACTGCCTCCTAGGATAACAGGCTCCCAGGATAACAGCCTCCCAGGATAACAGGCTCCCAGGATAACAGCCTCTTAGGATAACAGCCTCCCAGGATAACAGCCTCCCAGGATAACAGCCTCCGAGGATAACAGTCTCCTAGGATAAGAGTCTCCCAAGATAACAGTCTCCTAGGATAAGAGTCTCCCAAGATAACAGCCTCCTAAGATAAGAGCCTCCTAAGATAACAGCCTCCTAGGATAAGAGCCTCCTAAGATAACAGCCTCCTAGGATAACAGCCTCCTAAGATAACAGCCTCCTAGGATAACAACCTCACAGGATAAGTCTCCTAAGATAAGAGCCTCCTAAGATAACATCCTCCTAGGATAACAGCCTCCCAGGATAAGTCTCCCAGGATAACAGCCTCCCAAGATAACAGCCTTCCAGGATAACAGTCTCCCAAGATAACAGCCTCCCAAGATAACAGCCTCCCAAGATAACATCCTCCCAAGATAACAGCCCTTGAAGCCCTGGGAAGGAGTTGACAGATATGAAGTCATTGACAGATTTAGACTAATAGTTTCCCCTTGACAGGGAAAAAACTATTTACCTTATAATGATCCCAGTCACCCCCCATGTCAACGACACCCCCACCCCCATGTCAACGACACCCCCACCCCCATGTCAACGACACCCCCACCCCCATGTCAACGACACCCCCACCCCCATGTCAACGACACCCCCACCCCATGTCAACGACACCCCCACCCCCCCATGTCAACGACACCCCCACCCCCATGTCAACGACACCCCCACCCCATGTCAACGACACCCCCACCCCCCCATGTCAACGACAACCCCCCCCCCCCTATGTCAACGACAACCCCCCCCCCTAACCCAGGCCAAGAAACGGGCCAAACCACCGCCAAACGACCAACATTCCCTGAATTGCCTGCCATCAAATGGGTGGCAGATTTTCCTAAGAAGTAACATTCACTTTGGCGTCTTCCCACTTTCTTCTAATCTGAAAAATATATGGCAGAGCAGAATGACAAAGAAAACGAGATATAATATTATAAGCATATAATATACCTTTGTGTCAAGACACTGAAATATATAATATAGTTGTATAAGGAAATAAACTTATAATAAGGAACTGATATTATGACCTATCATCTTCAGGGGGGTTAATACGATCTAACTACACCCAAGGGTTATTAAGTCTGATCAACACCGCAGACTTAATTGGGCCTATCAGCCACCAGGAGGGTTATTAAAGTCTCAAACAATAGCTTGCTGACCAACCATCACAAATATTTTAATCCAAAGCATAATTGAGGCTTTAAATAAGCTACCAGAGTGTATACTCAGAGAAGCAAAATACACAGATGGGTGTATGACCCAACCGGTGAAACTCAGGGATCTGTGTATTTAAGCTATACGTGGCTCAGTGCCCAAGTACCCAAGAATGGAGAGTTTTTGACGCTAAGTATACAATACAACCGGGCATTCTGCAACATATATATATATATATATATATATATATATATATATATATATATATATATATATATATATATGCAATTGACGATCACAAAACACTGATCATTTTTATGCGGTGCGATTTATACAAATACTTTGATTAAATTTTCTATAAAATTGTATTTTCTGAATTAAGGATAAATTAGATCTCAGTATTAGTATCTATATCAATCCTCATATATTGATAATAGCTGGACCCCCTTATTACACCCCTTAGATGTGTTACTAGTCCCCCCTTTCACCCTTAACACAGGTACTGCTGGTAGTTCAGTCATCAGTACTCAACTACCAGTAGTTAACAGGCACTAGTATCACTTCTAATCCTTCAGTAACGGCCTATTTAGCCATAGGTTG